GTGGCTGAAAGACAGCAGTAAGAAAGAGCCAAGGAGTAGCAGTAGAAAGGCTGCAGAAAGAGTCCGGAGCCTAGAGGAGGGATCAGAGGAGGGATCAAAGGATCGAGGTGATGAGGCGGGGGCAGAAAGTGGAGACGAAAGCAGACGACTGAACATTGCTAGAGAGCAGGAAAGGATACAATATTTGGAACAATTTTTTTTCATCCCTATCCAAGTTCGGACCCGGGACCTTTGAATTTGAATGAGAGGCAAATACTTTAACCACTAGGCCACGAGAGCCCCCTGAGACGTGAGTTTGATTACCGAGTACGGATGTCATTTTTAATAGAGTATCTCAGTATCAATATATACAATCATTCTGAATTTAAAAAAAAAAACAGCCCGAAAGAGTAAAGTTATAACGTTAGTTTGACTCTTCACAAATCATAGAGCATAAATTTCCCTTCTCAACACATCTTTAGGAGAAAAACTATCTTTCTTCATAAATTTGAGTCTTGTTTGTTTAAGTAGAGGTTTTACGGCGCCCGCAACTGCATAAGGTCATATGAGCGCCAAGGGGTGGATGTCAACAGAGAAGTCCTTACAGGGAATCAGACTTACTCCGCTCATTTCTATATCTTCAACAGCACAAGTCTGCTTCGACTATTGAGGCACCCCGGAAATAGCGGGTCACAAGAGTGTGACAAACACACAAAAGAAGTAGAGGGAAAATGACAATAGTAAGGATTCGGAAAGAAAGCAGCAGTTCCCTGCTGTAGATCAGGCACAGGTATGAGCGTGACATTGATGAATCAGCCCATTTACAATTCTACTGTGCATGAACGAGAACTGTCTCCCCTTTGGGAATGGCCTAAAGACACTTCACAGTCAGTGGCACCGCCCCCGGGGGGGGGGGGGGGGGAGGGGTGAGTTTTCTCCGATCAGCAAAAGACCAGTTGAGTAAAATACGTGGTGCCCACTACTTCTGGATCGGGCCGATTGTCAGACTCGGTCGCCTGAATCTGAAAACAAACACGTTAATTGTTTTTTTTTTGAAGCGACCGAGCCGGGCGATCGGCCCGATCAGCAGATCCCATCCTGAGTAGTGGGCACCACGCATTTCTTTCATCGGTGTCCGATTACTTCGATGGACGAGATAATGCTATGAACGACCTTCATTAGCGTTCTCCTCAAACAGAAGACCACACGAGCATGAAAGAACCCCTCCCCCTCCTCTTTGCAACAACAAC